TGTTTTCAGAAGTATACTGTGTAGAATCAGGTTACCGGAAAGGTGTTTTAGGGGTTTCCTTAAATGTATGGATTTTTTTTCTAAATTATAGTCTTACTAGAGTCCCGGTGCACAAAATTCATGCACTTGGTGGTGGGGGGGGGGGGGGGAGTGGTGGTTCCAGGAGCCCTTGGGGGATGTCTGACTGACAGCTTAGGTCCACTCCTTAGTGCTGCCGCAGAGGCGGGAGAGGCTCCGGCCACAGCTGCTGCACTTGCCAGCAGTGAGCCTGGCTTCTGGCTGAGCAGTGGTCCCCCTGTGGGAGCTCACTGACCACCAGGGAGCAGCTCCTGCATTGAGCATGTGCCCCCTGGTGGTCAGTGCACGTTATAGTGAGCAGTTGAGCGGCCTTAGCATATCATTAGCATATTACTCTTTGATTGGTTGAACAGTTGACCAGACACTTAGCATATGAAGCTTTTATTATATAGGATGTTCATTAAAATAAAGCCCTACTGTTGCATTCAAAGCTGTCACATGTCTAAATACTTGGCAGAATGGGGAGTGCAGTGTAGGACCTTGGTCTCCTGCCCTGTTGATTCATTCCAGTGCATCGCTGAAAATAGGGCTTGCCTGCCGTTCAATACCAGAGAACGTATTTTACTGGCGTTTGCTGTTTTATACTAAAATACTCTTATTAGTCTTCTACATACTGGTGTCTTTGTGAATGCTTTTTTCTGGCACAGAGCACAGAAAAAAGTTTGGGGTAGGAGAGGATTGACATTTCCCTTTTCACCCTCCCCCCACCCCCAGGGTTCTCTGTGATGGTCTTTTTTTCTTTGAGAACTTTATTAGGGAATAACTGACAAATATAATGATATATATTTAAAGTGTACAATGTGATGATTTGCTATACATATACATTGTGGGATGATAGTCATGTTCAAGATATTAACACATCTATCACTTCACATCGTTAACTCTGTTTTTTTTATTGTTTTGAGGGAGAAATAAAGACAGAAAGAAAGAGAGACATAGATTTGTTTTTCCACTTATACATTCATAGGTTGATCTTGTATGTACCCTGAGTAGTCATCAAACCTGCAGCATTGCACATGGAGACAATGCTCTAACCAACTGAGCTACCCAGCCAGGGCTCTGAGGGTTTGTTTGTTTTTTAACTGAAAATGTTTAAGATCTACTCTCAGTACCTTTCAAATACACAGTATTGTATTATTAACTGTAGTCACCATGCTGTACATTAGCTCCTCAGAACGTACTCTTTTTATAACAGAAAGTTTGCACCCTTTGGCCTATATCTACCCATTTATCCTTCCGCCAGCCCCTAGCAGCCTCCATTCTGTACTGTTTCTACAAAATCATTTTTGTTATTTGTCTTTTGTTAAGATTCCACATTTAAGGGGAACTGTACAGTATTTGTCTTCATCTGGTTTATTTCACTTAGAAATAAGCTTTACCTATCTTGTTGCTAATGGCAGGATTTCCTTCCTTTTATGTCTGAATAATATTCCATTGTGTCTGAAATGTAATGAGCACTTTCTTGATGTGATGGTTCATTCACACCTATGTACAGAGGTGACGGGGGAGAGGCTGGCGTTGGTAATGATTCAGTAGGAACTTTGGGAGACCTGGGGAAGAAGGATAATAGTGTGGTGAGAACAGGTGGTGAAAATTGGACTCAGCGCTGGGGAGGATGCCCAGGCTCACTCCCTTGAAGACCCTCACTGGTCCCTGCACAGAGCCTGGCACTGTTTCTGGCTCCCTCCCCCTCTTTCAGGAATGGGTGCCTTGCATCTCAGCTCAGTGGGTGCTCATGTTTCTTATAAGTATGGACAAAGGGAAGTTTTCCCCCAGAGGCTTCGTAAGCAATGAATATGGAGCCACAACAAAAAAACAGCACAGATGGCCTGTGGTGACAGCGGCTCCTAGACTGCCTGGGGGTTACCTGGAGATGTAATTGTGAAAGATCCTAGAAATACCTGGGCACTGAAGTCTGGTACCATGTAGAAATTTTCAAGCCGTAGATATTTGGATTATAGCTATTTAAAATGTCCTATGATCTAGAGAAGAACCCCTGAAAAGCTGTGGCGATGTAGCTCACCATTTATTGTTTTGAATCAGGGAAATTTTGGTACTAAATAGTGTAAACAAGATATAGAGAAATGAGATGCTGATGGAGATTCCATTTTGTGTGAATGTGTTTAACTAAACAGCCTTGCTCTCACTGATTAGGTTTATAATTCTATGCATTTGGACTTGGATACATTGAACTAACTCTATACTACATGAAACTTGTTGCTGAATGAATAAAAATAAATGACCATTTATATATTATTTTAGTACATATAACATTTTACCTGCTTAACAAGTTTTATTGATTTTTTTTAAGCTTGAAAAGTACACAAAACATGGTAGACAGTAGGACCAGAATAAGCAGGCAATTGCATTCCTCCCATTTTCTCATCTAATGGTCATGGTTTGGGTAGTGCTACTTCTGTCCAATAGTATTACTGATAAACCAGAACAGAAAAAGCAAGCAAACAACAGCAAAGCAGAACTCATATAATGGTGCATCACCATCCAGGAGTAATGCACTAATTAACACACAAGGACAGTAAAGGGACAAAAGAGGGGGAGAGAGATTTCAAGGAATCGACTGAAAACATAAGGAAAAGTTAGAAGTTCTCCCTTCTTTCTTGCTGTAATCATTCTGAAAACAGAGAGATCAGGTTGACTCGAGCCGATAAGCTTTGAAATACCATGAAGGACGCCTCTCTGGTGCAGTATTGATGAACTGCCTGAGTATATCACTGGCATTTTCGTTTTACTAGCCCAGTAAGAAGAGTCACTGGTACCTCACGCCCACCTGCCTGTGAATTACTTCACTGATTGCTGTTCATGTGGGTGGGGTGCCCCACACCATTGCATGCTGGGTTAAGGGGTTCCTTCTCTGGGGTTCCTCTGAATTCCCTTGTCAGATGGATGGGAGACCCAGCCTGTGACCAGCTGAACATCGTTATTTTGTTCGCTGCCGTATTGTATCAAGAGAGCAACTACCTGGAGATGCTTTATGCCCTCACTGCTCCCATTTCCTCCGCGGGGGATTTATAGGCCTATTCGAGGTGGAGCAGCAACATCGCTCTGTGTCTTCAAACAAACAGCCACCCCGCTGCCACTGATCAGTGTTCCTGGGATGGCGGTGATTGAAATTTAGCACTTAGAGCGATTTAATTGGCACCCGGATCTGTTAAACATATGCCCCCACCGTAGGCATGCCATCTGATGTGCCCACAGGGTGCCTAGCACCTCACACATGCTCACATTTTGCTAAAGAAGCAAGTTTTGAACAGCTCCTTGAAGGAAGCCTGTGAGGTGGTGTAGGAGAGGGGAGGCCCTAGAGCCCAGGTCCCCAGATCCTCAGCATTCCCTTGAACTTGGAACAAACCTAAGTCCTGGAGTTCCAGTTTGCTTGTTGAGAAAGAAGCCTTCAGAATCTCTCCCTGATGCTTAAGTAGATCAAGGCCAGTGCTAGCGGAGTGCAGCCTGGAAGGGTTCAGCACTCCTGGCAGCACGTTGCCTTGAAAATCAAGGTTAGAATGTTCCCTTCTCACTGAGGCTAGAACTGATCCCTTGGCCTGCAGACAGAATCCTGGAAATCGATGTCACCTTTTTTCTCCTGAGTTGAAAACAGCAGTTACTGGGCCAGATGTTCTAGGTTATGTTTATCAGGTGAGGAATATGAACCTCAACAGAAAACAGAGCAGCCCCATTTGGTTCGTTTCCTTATGTAAGAAGAAGGGGTGAGGATATCAGTGCTTAGGAACACACTGCTCTGTTCAGTCTCCCCAAGCTCCCTGGTGCTCATGGACTTCCCATCACCAGGTGGACCCTGGTCATTGCTGCAGGTGCCCAAACAGGCAGCCACGCTGGGCATGAGTTTCAGTGGGGCTGAGAAGAGGTATACCAGCTCTCTAACAACTTTGTGGCTTTAAAATATATATATATATATATTTCAGGGAGAGTGATAGAGCGATAGAAACATCAATGATGAGAGAGAATCATAGATCGGCTGCCTCCTACACTCCCCCTACTGTGGATTGAGTCCACAACCCAGGCATGTGTCCTGACAGGGAGTCATACAGTGACCTCCTGGTTCATAGGTTGATGTTCAACCACTGAGCCACACCAGCCTGGGTTCGTTCCTGTCCTAACTGGGCCACAGACTCCTGGGCCTCATCTGTATTTGTATTTTCCTCTGGCTTTAGGCAACATTCCAGGCTCCTAATAAATGGGTAGTGAGTGTTTGTTGAATTCTGAAAGAATGAACTGAAATGTTTGGGTTTCTCTGAGGGAGCAATAGGTTACAGGGGTGGGCAAACTTTTTGACTCAAGGGCCATAATGGATTCTTAAACTGGACAGGAGGACCGGAACAAAAGCATGGATGGAGTGTTTGTGTGAACTAATATAAATTCAAAGTAAACATCATTACATAAAAGGGTACGGTCTTTTTTTTTTTTTTTTAGTTTTATTCATTTCAAACGGGCTGGATGCGGCCCGCGGGCCGTAGTTTCCCCACAGCTGGGTTAGAATCAGAGGAAGATTCACCATGACGTTAATGAAGCTTGCATTTCAGTGCCCCTCATTGGACGGGTCCCTTTCCAGGACCTGCCTTTAAGTTTGGAATCATAAATTTATATCCTATTTCTTCTGGAGGGCTCCCCAAATTCCATAGGCTTCAGGACCCCATAAAACACAGACTGGAACCTGTTAAAATGGCTTAGCCCATGGGTCTTCTGCCATCCAATGGCTTTCCCAATATTGGGAGATGAGAAGAAACTGACAGAGCCAGGCCTGCAGAGAAGAAAGGGAAGGAACTAACATTTAAGAACCTCATGCTAAACCAGGATAACTTGCATTTCTTACCTAATTGAACTCCTCACAGCAACCCTTTCTGGGGGACAGCATAGTGAGATTCCGAGAAGCTAAGTAACCTGTCCATATGGTACAGCTTCTAGGACCTTCCGCTCTCCAAACTGTCAGCTCAGTGGCTACCTTGCAGAATGCATATTTCAGAGCTTTGCAAGTCTTCCCCGAAAGTGTTAAGCCCACCAGGGTAAGAAAGATCTGGAACGTTCATGTAACTTGCTGTGGGAGTGGAAGGGAGAAAGTTGGGGAAGGGATCAGGCTTGAGCAGTTTCATGGAAGGCACTGGCAAACCCTTCCCCAGTCAGCATAAGGGAATGCAGTAACAATTCATTCAATTATGTTAAGCGCCCATTAAAGGAATCCTAAACCCTCCCTTGGGCCATTTCACTTCCATGAGATTGTAATTGTTTGAGACTAACCATGATTTCTTCTTTTGCCTTCAGGTGATTCTCATTTTGACAAAGCTCTATGACTATAACCTGGGGAGCATCACTGAGAGCTCGCTTTGGAGGTAAGTAGATAATCGGAGCTAATGATTGCTGTGTTATTTAATCATGCCCACCACTGCTCTCCACCCCCTTTTTCCCAGGTGAGAAGATCTCTGTTTATTTTACCCTTCCTTCCTCTGCTCTCAGTTCCCCTAGGCCAGTGATGGTGAACCTCTGACACGCGTGTCAGAGGTGACACGTGAACTCATTTTTTTGGTTGATTTTTCTTTGTTAAATGGCATTTAAATATATAAAATAAATATCAAAAATATAAATCTTTGTTTTACTAGGGTTGCAAATATCAAACAATTTCTATATGTGACATGGCACCAGAGTTAAGTTAGGGTTTTTCAAAATGCTGACACACCGAGCTCAAAAGGTTCGCCATCACTGCTAGGCCATGGTTGGGGTTTATCTGCAGGCAGGCCAGATCCTTACTTCTTTATACAATCCTCCCTTTGGTCACAGTCAGATCTTTGTGCTAAACTGTTCATTAGGTTGTCCTTATGAGTTTTGGTCCCCACAGTTCTCACTGATCTGTGATCTTAATGGAGCAGTCTGTGTCATGGGCCCATACCTGAACCAATTTCTGAAGGCCAATAGAGCACTGCCTCTGATTGGCCAGTCCTGGGTCACATGATAGTCTCTGAACCTGGGAGAGGATAAAAACTACCCCAGAGATAATATGCGGTGATCACTGGCTTGGGGTCAAGCTCTGAGTCTGTTCTAGATGCTGGAGGGGCAAGTTTCTAAGGAAGACTCCAGCTCCTAGCTAGGGATTCTTGGCTTCATGCAGGAAAGAATTTAAGACTTGAGCCAGACAAGAGGTTCAAGCAGAAGCAAGTATATTGAGCAGAGAGAATAAGCAGGAAAAGCCACTCCAAAGATAGAGTGAGGGACTCTCCTCACAAGAGAAGGAAGAGAGACCCCAACTCTCTCTAGAGATTGAGCTTATATCTGTTTGTAGTTCCTGTGGAAAATTACTGGTATGAGGAAATAGGGCATGGAAACGTTGGGGTTAAGCTTTCCTTTACAAGGTATATTTTGTGATCTGCTTTCCCTTTAGAGTATGGGTAAACCATAAGGTATGGGTAAGGTGCTATTAATCAATCTTTGCTGGAAGTTTCTTTGTTCTAGAGGCACCTTGCCATCTGCTTGCATCTCGGGTCAGCCCAGTTCCATGTCAGGCAGCAGGTAACAGGCCCCTGACTTAACTTTGTTTGACTTCAGTTAATTTATGTAGTTCTCATGCGCTCTCCTATATTATTCTGATCTGTTGGTGCCCTTATCATAACAATGGTTAACTTCTGATATCACTTTTGATCACCCATCCCCAAAACACACACACACACACACACACACACACACAAACACACACACACACACACACACACTAAATGGGAGTGGTTATACTAAGAAAAGAAGGGAATGGTCTTTGTTAATATAAGAAACATTCAAACATGTGAAGAATTTGTGAGAGTTTATTTGAGCTGGGAAGCAGAATCTCAAAGAACTGAGATAATGCTCTCAAGAGAATGGCAGATTTTTACCTGGTTTTATACCTTACAATCAAAGGAGGAGAAGTAAGTGGGTTCCTTGAAATCCATTGGTGATAGATTAGGGAGGCAGGAGAAAGCAAAGCTGGGAAACCTCTGAGATTAGATAAAAAAAGAAATAATACACACGTGCTTCTTTTACATATAGGTGGGTACAGAATAGTTAACAGCCAGCAATTAACATCATGACAATAACAATGAGGGAATTTATGGTCTTCACTCTGGTGCATTGGTTGGGCCCTGAGGGTTCTGGAAAATGGGAAGTTACCCTGAAATTCCAAATGTCTGTTGTCTTAGATGCAAAAAGACAATAGGCTCTGTTAAGGTCAAAGTTAATCTTTGTCAGGGAAGATACTGCTGTAGGACATGACTACCCATTATAAACTGCTTTTAGTTAAAGTTTTAATTTCAGACCATCCTTTGTGGTTATTTTAGGTCTCTGAGTTTGCAGGGCCTCCATGCAGGCCTTCCCTGAGCTTTTCAGGTTAGCATGTGGCCCCTTTTTGTCCACATCTTTGAGCAGATAAAACTAGTGGGTGTTCCCTGTTTAAGATCAATGGGCATTCTATCACCTGTCAGTTCCTATGACTGGGAAGATTGGTTACCAGCTCTCAATCTCAGAGCTAGGGTCCAGAGGGAAAGACGCCGCCCCCTACCCACCCCCATCTGTGTCAGGTTCCACCCCTGGTCTAGTCCACAGTGACTGGGGAGGGAAGGTTGATTTACAGCGGTGGTTCTCAACCTTCTGGCCCTTTAAATACAGTTCCTCATGTTGTGACCCAACCATAAAATTATTTTCGCTGCTACTTCATAACTGTAATGTTGCTACTGTTATGAATCGTAATGTAAATATCTGATATGCAGGATAGTCTTAGGCGACCCCTGTGAAAGGGTCGTTCGACCACCAAAGGGGTCGCGACCCACAGGTTGAGAACCACTGATTTACAGGTTAGTGATTTCATTGCAGAGCCTGCATCTGTTGGGGAATGTAGTTGTCATACAAGAGGAGGATCATGGATTGGATAGACACCCCAAAGAATCTACCATACCCTGCCAGGGGATTGTTCATGAAATTTCATTTTTACCTGATATCTGTTTTCCATTAGGCTTGACAGTATATACAGGCAGCCCCAAGTCCATTGTTCTGCACCTCAGGAGGACTCCAGTAGACCAAGGAAAATGCTAGATTCTGTTCTTTTACTTGTCAGGCATTGAACTCCTCCTCCAACTAAGGAGGTCAATTATGCAGAGTTTATATCACAAGGACATTTTTAACTGAATTAAAATGTGGGAAGTTCGGTAGAGCCTCAAAACGTAGAGTTATTGACAGCATTAAGGGCCTGACACCTGCTGTATTGTTTAAATTCAGTCCCCGTTCATCAGAATCGCAGCGACTCTGAGTAAGCTTACGCTTCGTTGATAGATTTCTCTAATGTATTTAAATATATGAAAGTAAAAGCCGGCTTTTATACTGCAGTGCACCTGCCACATAAAGTGTAGCCGGCATATTAGAAAATTAAAAGGTGTGCAATTCTGTCTCCATGGGACAGGCTTTTAGCAGCTATAACTCTTCACCTGAGCAGTGGGAAGGGCATGCCGGAGGGACGTGAGGAGCAGTTTGTCCTAGACAACGGAAGCTCATGTTCAAGGGCTCCTTTCTCTCTCAGGGCGCATTGTTACCCATGCCCCAGTCAGGGAAGAATGTACTTTTCTGATTTTATGGGAGGAGTATATAAAAATGATGTGATATTTCAGTAATATTAGGCCTTCCTTCTGAGGGAGCAACCCCAGGGGTTTAAGATTGGGTAAGTGTGGCAAGAATGACCCACTAACTTTTCAATCTTAGAATCAATTTCACACACACACACACACACACACACACACACATTTATATGATATACATACACCCATATGTACATACACACATAATGTACCCACGTGTTTTTATTTTTCTAACATACCCACAGTAGTCATTTGCCATATATGTCATATGTTATACATGTCATATGTGGCAAATGACTACTGTGGGTATTCTCCACTATTAGGACTACTTATTATAATGCTTTGATAGATGAGCACAAGCCTCAATGAAAATATAGTTTAGAAAAGCAAAAAGGGAAGAAGGAATAATATTTAGAATACTCACAAGTGCTTCGGTGGAGCTTGCATTTTCAGGCAGCTCACGATGCCCATCTCTGGTCTTTGGGGAACATCTTTGGGGGTGCTCATACAGAGGAGACGTGGGATAGGCCTAGGTGGGTCAAGAATGGGAATTGAGCCTAGATCTCCTCATGGTTCTACTAGTAGTCATCTAGTGCAGCCTTCCTTGAAGGACTGCAGACTGTTAGTACTGACTCATTTTCTCCCACACCAGCTTGTACTTTCTTCTCAGAATACCTGCCTATGCCCACAATCAGGGGGCTTGGTAGAGGCACATGGCACCCCAGCACTGAGTGTAGGACTTAACACATAGATGATGCTCACTAAGTATCTGTTTTTGAACAGACAAGTGAACACTACAATTCTATCTCTTCTGCATGGTCATCAATATATAATTCTGTTTCTCATTCATTTATTCAACATAGATGAATTGATGAACTCTTTTAGTCTTATGGTTCTGTCCAGGAGAGGGAACGTAACGTGGGTGGGTACATCGATAACAGAATATAGGCTTTGTCCTCCAGTGTTCATTGTTTAGGGCCAAGGTCTGTGGACAGTTAAAGCGAGAGAGGTCCGTGAACTTGCTCATAACCTGCCATGTGTCATTGTATGGGAAAGGTACTGAAGCAGCCACCCAGAACTGCCAGATCCCAGAAGGAGATAAATCTAATATAAAAACTAAAAACTGTCATACAACCATACATGTTGTTGCTTCTTTACTTTGCTCATGTGTATATTTTCTCAACTAGACTTTAAGCCCTTAAACACAGCACTTTGCTGGTTTAAGGATAATAGCAACAGAGCCGCTAATAATGACAACAATGATAGAAACTAGCTTTTATTGAATAATCACCATGTCTCAGGCATGATGCTGAGCGTTAAATATTCATCCTCTCAATTTACTTTTACAGTGTATTCAGTGTCACACAGTTAGTAAATAATAGCCCACACAGTTACAAGGATGCTATTTAATAAACTTTAATCATTTCACTGCTTATCGGTCATCTGGAGTCCTATCTGCCTTATGGTTGATCATTCTATACCTAAGCAAGTAAGCAAATAAAATGTTAATCTTTTTTAAAATTGATGTTAGAAAGAGAGAAACATCGATGGGTTGTTGCACTTATTTATGCATTCATTGATTGACTCTTGTATGTGCCATGAATGGGATCCAACCTGCAATCTTGGTGTACAGGGAGGATGCTCTAACCAACTAAGCTACCTGGACAAATAAAATTTTAATCTTATATGTATCTGATTTTCAAAGAACTATGACATTCTGAGCAGCATTTGCCCTATTCTTGAAA